TTCATTACTCTGAGCAGTTACTGTGCATGTGTGTCATCACAATAAATGATTCCTAATAGAATGGAAAAGCAACTCTTTGCCCTTGTGGTCATGTCTTAATTTCACCAAAATCAGCTGGACATTTACTGTCTATGGAGTATCTCCAAAAAATAGATTTTTCAGCGTAAAGCTAGCCGGTACCTTCCTCCTCCTCCTCCTCCTGCCACTCCTCCTGCTCCTCCTCCTGCTCCACCACCTCCTCCTCCTCTACCTCCTGCTCCTCTGCTGAGCAAAGCACAGGTGTGGTTAGTGCAGCCAGCAAAGCAGCCAGCAACAGTCATACACACAAACACAATGAAAGAAAAAACACATCTTCCAAAGCTTAGTGGATCATAGATTGACTCATTCTCAGAGTAGATATCAGCCAAGTTGTTGCGGTTTAACCACCAACAGAGTGAGAGACAGAACAATGTCTCATGTCATTTGGTGTGACTGATCTATGACTAAAACATTCATAGTTTGTTTATTAATGTCAGTGTTCAATTTTCCCTGAAGAGTTAACAACTAACCTTCAGCTGCCTCCTCTTCTGAATCACGCAGACAGAGAAATACACAAAGGAGGAATCAACACATATAATCACATAATGAGAAATGCAAACTGTAGCTGGTTTGTAATAGAACCTTGTTACACACACACTCACACTCACACTCACACGCTATAACACCACTAATGCCGATAATTGCAAGAAAAACAAGAACAAGAAGGTGACATCATCATAAGGACCATAAACAAATAACTCTTACATCCTGTGGATTTTCCCCCAAAATATCTAGTGACAGGAATCTTTGACTCAATAAGTTATATACACACTTTAAAAACATTATAACAACCTGCTAATTATGCATTGGTGTACAATGCTCAATCACATTGTATATACAACAGGACATTTTCACTTATGGGAGATACAACTGAGAAAGTGCTGTTATATTCCTTTTACTGCTGTTTGTGGTATATTAGTATCATCTTCCAATAATAAACTCTGGATTATTCAGTTTAAACATTAAATTATAACACTCAGATATGTGATGATGCCAGTGAGTCATGATTGGAGTTCTTACCTTCCACCTCCCTGTGAAATGCAAACACACACACACATCAATAATCAGATCCAGGAAGCAATATGCAAAACATATCTATTCTCACATCACCATAACATGCAGCTTTCACTACGACAGATAGATGGGTGTGTTTGAACATATATTCAGTGTATTTATTTTAAGTGTAGAAAATGAAAATGAACTTACTCCTCATACTCCTCCACAACTTCCTCTGTGTCCGACATGTCAGTGAGCTTTCAGGTGTGCAGCAGTGAGTCTGAGCGTTTAAACAGACTCAGTAAGTTCCCCTGGAAATCCTGTTCCCATTCAACATTCAACTGCTGACACTTACCTCAGATCAGATGGAGTGATGGAGAAAGAGATCTGATCTGCAGCAGAGGTCCTCGCTCTCTCGGTGAGGTTGAGCCTCAGAGGGCAAAGGGACTTACTGCGTTGGGGTGGGGGGGGGGGGAGAGGCTTTAGGACCCCTTGATGTGTTATTAATAAACTTTTTAGATAGCATGTACTCTCCATTATCACCATTCCCGAAAAAGGCCGCTGTGTGACCGAGTGCGGGTGTCAGCGCGGCCAAAATACTCAGATAAGTCTGCAGTTGCTCACAGACAATGATCCACACACACAAACACACACTGAGGCGCTCACACATTCCCTCGCCTATGTGTGTGGCACCCTGCCACTGACAAAGCACAGACTCACAACTCTTATCTACATCCTCCCTCCTTTGAGATAAGTCATGTGAGCAGTGAAAATGAATGCATGGCAGCCACATGTAGTAAAACATTTTATTACTTAGACACCATCCTGCCCTGAAGGACACAAGAACACAATGAACATTATGTTTTGGCAGATCAGACAAAAATTCCTAAAAGTGTAATTCAATAAACATTGGTTTCATTGGCTTTAAGACCTTCACCTGTTTAAAGTGCTTGAAAAATTACAGAAAGTTACAGCAAATAAAACAAATACACCACTGCCCCTTTTTCTTTTTCTCATCCTCTTTTACTCTTTTTCCTGACTCAGTTAAATATCTTACTATTTTATTCAATGTTCAAAAAAAGACAATTGTGTTACTTTAAAAGTTAACGTTAAAAAAGCATGAAGCCTAACTTTAAAAGCAGATTCCTTCTTTTGTCAGTCCTGTAAAGCTGCAACTCACTTCACTTTTCAAATTCTCCTGTCTTCCTCACATGCACTTTAGTGAAGAAAAAAACAACATATAAAGCTTGAAGAATTCATTCAGTTATCTTCCACCTCTTTTCACCTCTTCTCCCCATCTTCTCAGTCCTATACGACACAGAAATAAAGAAATTATAAGTTTTTCTTCGATATTCAAATCTGGAGTTAAGCCTTCACATAGTTAATATTACAACTGTTTTCATAATATTGTTGTGTGTTCTGTGGGACAGTAATCATACCTGTTGGACAATATAATTGAGCATCCTTCACTTTTTTGAGTGGACTTTTAAGTCCCTGTCCTCCCCTCTATTCTCAAACAGACTCCTCTTACTGGTGATGTCCACGTGTCTCAAGTCCTATAAGTAGAAAATAGAAAAAATATATATTAATGCTTAATATAAAAGGCAGTTAACAGCTGACAGCTCAGTAACTGTTAAACAAACAGTGGCCTGTTTTTACAACATCTTTATAGTTCAAAAATAAACACCAGGAGCAAAAAAACTTCCTGCTTCTGAAACTGAGACACATTTTACTGACAGCCTACGACTGCCCTCTAGCTGCTGCACTTTGTACTTTCATAACTCTTTACATGACAGTTGTAATGGACAGGTGAACGTACAGTGGGACTGTGTGAAGGCACAGTTTGATTGGTCTTGTTGAGCCAGCGGTTGATACGGTGTGACATTCCTGACGTGATGCTCTGAAACTCCTGGCGTCACCAGAGATGAGAAAAAATGAGAATATTGTTATCATTATTATTAGTAGTAGTAGTAGTTGTAGAAGTAGTAGCAGTAGCAGTATTAGAAGTAGTTTGTGTGTTATTCATCTTATTTTTAGTAATGTAATTTTGAATAGTATGCCTCCTTTGCTTTGAACATAGAATAGTGAGCGTTAACTCTACCGGTCTGGAGACCCCAGGGCTGGTGGGGGCCACTTCCTGCTGCTCCTTCTCAAAGATACCTCTCTTCCTGGACACCTCTTCCAGCAGGAAAAGGGTCCTCTGCGTCACATCTGGAGATCGCGTTATGTCCGATTTCTATGCACGAATAGGCAGCAGAGAAAACGCCATCTGTGTTGTAATACTTACAGTTGATGCAAACTTGTGAGTTGTGATATTTTGTGGGTTCAGAGTCTGACCTGTGCAGCCTGGGCCAGTCGCTCCATCTTCTCCTGGATGGATCTGGATGAAATCCTCTGTCTACAGCTGCACAAAACAGATCACACGTGTGTACTAATCCAGCTGTGCTCACGTCCTCTGACTTAAAAAAATAATACACAAAATAAACTCACTTTCTCATGAAAGACGATTTATCTTCATCTTCTTTTTGGTCCTGGTCCAAACCCGAGGAAGCAAAATGTTAGAGACATGAATGGTAAATCATATCTGTGCAACAAATAATATTTTAAACAATAAAATGCACCAATCTAACACAATGTGTTCCATATTTTTACAAAACAATTTTGGAAAGACACAATTTAATAAATCATACTTTAAAGCCAATAAGCCAGTGATCTTGTAATCATTCCCAACTGTTTGCAGATTCTTTTTCTTAGTTGACTGGATGAGGTACAATACAAACAACAACATCTTTACTACTAATATTTATTTATATATTTGTTAATGTAGTTAGTTAGTCAGTTAGTCAGTCATTTACATAAGGAGAAAGTCCATTTTATCTTACTGTGTTTGATTCAAACTTCTTGGTGGCCACCCTCACACTCGCACTGAAACAGAATGAAAACATTTGTACTTAAGACAATCAAAAGCAACTCAAATTAAAGACAAATATGTTTCTTTTACCTCCTCTGCAGAGGTGAACTCTCTTCTTCCTTCTTCCTCATCATCTGCAGAGGTCCAGGAGTAACAGAAAAAGAGTTTGTCAGCAGACCAGTCGTCCAAATGTCAGTAACCTTTCTCTTGTGTAGTGTCAGGGTGTTTTAACAAAGCAGTCAGTCAGCAGTCACAGCTGGTACATGTGTGCTGCAGCTATTAGCATAAGTCCGATGCTTGAGAGGCACAAGCAAATCATCCTGAACTGATAGAGGTGATGCAAGATTAAACAGTGTTAACAGTCAAATTGGCAAAAGTTAATGTTTGGCGTTGCCTTGAGAACACATCGTGTGTGGGTTGTTGTGTTTACCCTGAAAGATATAGTCCTGGAACTCTGTCTGACAAAGGCAGGTTTAGTCGTCTGATCAAAGTTGTCGTTGGAGAAAGAGCCATTCTTGTTTGTCTGAGTAAAAACAAAAGAAAATTCAACTTTACTGCTTCGTAGGATCAAGTCTTGTCTCTTCTCTACCCTTAAACACTGATGAGGAAGTGCCTGCTGCTGGTTATAACTATGAGCCAATAGCTAGTTACTATTGGCACAAAGAATATGACTTGAACTAATTTAATACTAGATGGTGCTGTTGTTTTATTGAACTATCAAGCAGCTGCATCAGCACTTTGCAATCATTTGAAAAGCAAAACATGCAGCTGATGTAGTTATGTTGTAAATGACGCCATCCCACACTTTCTGAATGTTTCTAGAATACCTCCTGTGTGTGTCCGTTCTGAACGGGGCTCTGAGCTCCGCTGGGTGAGGGGCTCTGAGCTCCGCTGGGTGAGTTGCTCTGACAGGGCGAGGGGCTCTGACAGGGCGAGGGCCAGTGTTCTTGAGGTGACCGGGGGGCAGTTGGGGAGCAAGGGCTCATGGGAGTTGTGTGTCCACTGATGGAGGGACTCTTGTCGAGTGAGATGGACACAGAACTGAAACAACAGAAACCACAATGAACCGAAAGATCAACTGACAACGTCAGCAAATGTTAACTTAGTATTTAGAGATTTGACGTCTAAATCTAAATGAATATGTCTCCTATATACTTTATACAACTGATTATTTAAGGAACAGACATTAAGTATTATCAGTTTTACTTGACCTTTGGCTGTTATTCCACTGTTTCCATAAACCTCCATAACCTTTGTCTTATCTTTAAAAATGTAATCCTTCTTTGATCAATCCTAATGACCAATCATAAAAGGACAGTGAAAAATTCTGCTTGTTAACCTGACAAACTTGTGAGCCGCGTTGGACGCCAGCGTGGGATCAGGGTCTTCCCTCGGCGACTCGCCATTTTCTTGCTAACAAAGAAACAAAAAGTAGAGACAATCAACGTTGGCACAGAGTGTACAAGCTTTTGTACAGCGCCACCTCAGACACACCTTGCATTACATAACGCAGTACAGTTATGGCCTGATTTAAAGATATGCTGAATTAAAGGTGCCTTGTGACTGTAATAAAAGATCAACTGTGAATTATGACCTCAAGCACGTCTTATCAAAGTTTAAAAGATGATTTGCATGAACACTGCAATAGTGCAAGTCCAGCAAAATGAAAGAAGATGAAAAAAACAGTTTTTTATTTCTATATTCTGCTAATATCCTCAGAGAAAATATTTCTCTTTTAATTTGTTCATCAAAACAGTGCTGCTAATGTGCTCTTTCCATCCATGTGTCCATCTTTACAGAAATTTGTGATGATAGTATTTTCCTGGAAGTGAAAGAGGTTGTTGTTGCTGTGGAATCTAGAAGATGATTAACATGACTCTGTGTGTGGTCTCAGTTAACTGTGATGAACCTCACTTCAGGGTGACACTGTGCGTTATGACTCAGTGTGGCATTCGCAGTTTTAGTGAGGTCTGTCTACCTGTGTGTCAGTGAAGGGAGGTCACATTAAATGAATTGTTTATTTGGCTCGATCGCTCTCACAGTGGATCACGGTGCTCCAAATATATCTCAAAATATCTTTTGGAAGCATTGCCATGAAGTTTTACTCAGACATTCAGTGAACCCAGAAGTGAATCACAATTATTTTGGTGATTTCCCAGCTCACACAACCAGGAATAAAGACATTCATGGTTCCAACAAGAACCTAGAATCCTAATCACCTAGACTTGCCATTTAGCGCCACCATCAGGGCAAAAGCCAAATTTATATTGAGACAAATACTTTTTTTATATAAGTACTTGCAAGATTAACAACACTTCAATCAGCCTCATTTGTATGTTTCCTCCACCAAGAAGTTCAGTTGGATTCAGGATTTTATATCCTGTTTTACTTCATCTAGTCACTTTTTTGCTTCTATGACAACATTGGTCATTTTAGTAAAACATAGACATGAGAATTTTATCCAGTCCTTGCAAAGATATCCTTATAAAGTATCTACACTGTTTCTCTAGTATGGTGAGATGGATCTTGGGAAAGAAAATATGTAAATATAGAGAACTAATATGCAAAGGTGATATGCACATATATCTGATGAGGTGTGATTTGAATAGATGCATAGAACTCTGAGCAGACTTCCAGTTGTACATGTGATTACTGTCGAAATGTTAAAGGTTTGCTGAAGGGTACTTAGTGATTCCAGTCTTACGTGTCTGTTGGTGATGTCAGTGCTGGTGTTGCTGCTGCTGGGACTGTAAGAGGCTGTTTTTGGGAGTGGTTGTGGTTTGGATGTGGCTCTCACAGGGAGAAACACGTTGCCCGGCTCCTCATTCACGTCCCCCAGCAGCTCCACCCTGGCCTCTCCTCCTCCTCCTCTGTTTGCCTCTGCTTCACCGTCCTCTTCCTCTTTCTGTCGCCTCAGTGTCTCCACATGTCTCAACCTTCGCTTTTCATCACGAACCCGCAGCATCTCCACAAAGTCCAGCTGGATTTGCTCCGCACTGGAGATAAATAAACACACGTGAATGAGCGATATATATGATGGATATTCTCCAGAGTGAGGTGAAAGAACCTGTCATTGCTGTGACTGATCAGGTTTCTCTCATGAAAGCCTCCATAGTTCTTCTCTCTCGCTTTGAAGATTGATTCTGCTCCAGGTCCTCAGCTGCTGGTGTTTCTGACAGCTTGTCATACTTTCTATGCACGGTATCAGGTGTTTTGTTCAAGTATACAGATGACACACTCCCAAAGGGCAAACACGTTAATAATCCTCTCTCCCTGCTTCTGAAATCCAACCACTAAAATGACTACTGTCGAAGAAGATGAATTCTTACACAGCCCAAACCCTCTGGCCATTTTATAAACCAGAAACAGAAAAGAGGGGGTTGGAGAGTAGTAGTTGTAAAAGTAGAAATAGCTGTGGGGGAACAAGTGGAGCGATGAAAAGCAGAGTACATGCGTAGCAACAGCAGTTATAATCAGAGAGTCTATAAATCCACCTCCAGATAGAATACATCAATAAATTCAGTCTCATTAAATCATAATAATAATAATAACCTGCTGAGGCCCTGGGACGTCTCACGTGTGGACTCTGTCCCAAAGGGGCTGTCGCTGGTGGGTGCGTCTTGAGGTGCTTCGGGGTCAGCGGCACTGCTGGAGCCTTTCACCCTCCTCCTCCTCTCCCTCTCCACCTCCTCCTCGTCCTCCATCGTCCACTGGCGTGCCAGGCTGAGAGTCAATAAAGAGTCAGAATCAACACCAGAATCAGCAAACAGGGACGTAAACAGGAATTTAACAAGGCGAGACGCAAGGTGGCAAAGAAAAGGCCTGAGAAAGATGAAGATGCATTCGTAAAACAGTGTCCAGTAGTTTTTACAGTACTGATTTTAGCTGTGTGTAACGGTTGTTATATCCGTTAAACAAAACCTGCTTTACTTGTTCATCAACTGTTTTATGAGCAAAGTCACAGTTGGTTGCTTATCAAAGCAGCTTTTAATCAACTATTCATTCTATTATTATGCACGACCTGTGTTCAACACAGAACGCATGAGTCCGTTACTACAGGCAGAGACAACCTGACCTATTCAAGTTTAAAGCAGTCGTACAAATAATCACGTTTTTAAATTTTTTCAAACTTCACAGCAAAGGTAGAAATGACTGTAATTATATGAAAGATGACACTAAATGAAACAGGCTACTTATTACAGATAGTTAAGTCCCTTCAAAACATTAGAACACTGGATTTAGACTGCTAGGCTTGGCTCCAAGAATAAAACCAGTTATGTTAATAAAGTCAAACTCCATAAGAAGCTGCTCTCAAACACAGGTGTCAGACTCTCTTCAGAAAACTCAGCAAACACTTACCTGGACAAAGCCGACCAGTTCTTCCGACTGAGGGACATACTGAGCTAACGAAATAAAAGTGATAATATATAAATAAAGTTGCACTTTGCTCACAGGCAGGAGAAAGTCGACTGACTGGCACAGAGGACGGCAGTCAAATGTGAAACACAAAGAAGTCCACCTTTACCCTGGTGGAGTCACATGACCATAAAGGTAAGCAACCCACCTGAGAGAGAGAGAGAGAGAGAGAGAGAGAGAGTCTCCTTGTATGGTGGAAGTGTTGTAGTTGTTGTAGATGACAAGAGTACTTACTTACTTGTTTTGCAGGATTTGTATGGTAATAAATAAGACTAATAATAATAAAAAACATGACAATAAATTTAATGAAGTGTGTTGATGCAATTACTCCAACTAAAATCCAATCAAACACTTGATTCAAGGAATTCAGTCATGTGGGACATTTTGGGTTTGTAGTCTACATGACACAGAAATGTTAAATAGGTAAAAAAGAATCACACCCATAGCTTTTTTTTTTCAAATCAATCAAATGCACAAATGGAATAATTTAATTCAACACTGAAAAATAAAACATAGTCTTTGTAAACTAATATACACAAAATGAAATGCAAAACATTTGATTTAATTTAATATATCTAAGTTGAATTGGATGTTTGAATAAAAATAACTTGTCCAACTGGGTTTGATGCTCTGAAGTTCTGGGCAGTTTCTTTACAGTGTGACTCAGACTGTTTGCTTTTGCTGTGGGAGGCCACACCTTTTGTCATAGAGTCCAGTGTGCAGGACTCTGACCCAGACCCAGTCCAACACACACACACACACACACACCCTCATTACTTTATGCCACACATGTGCCTGCTAAATATTCTGCGCAGATCATGAGGTAGATAAAATGAAGCATCTGCTTCTCCCATCTTTTATGGATTTGTGAAAACATGAGCCTGCTCCACTTATATTAGGAGAATACTGAGTCATGACATTTATCATGAAGATACTATCTCACTGAACTGATCTGTGTGTCACTTCTTGGCCAAATCAGCAATCATGTGTGCCTTTTTTATCAGTGTGTGCCCTGGCAGTGTTTACAGTAAACATTCTACTGTACCTAACCCTGATATTAGTCTTAATTTTTCTTAACTTAAGGAAGGAGCTGACCATGTACAGTAACTGGAAGTGAAACTCTCTCCACACATGAAAATGTCTGTTCAGGTTTCGTTTATCTACCTGGATGAGCTGATAATAACTGAAGTTCAATTATGGATGCACTTTTCAGAGCAAGCTTTATGAGCATGCAAAACAGGCTGCAAGTGTTTTACCGCAGTGAACCGCCCGGTAGACACATCAGCAGATATATGCAGCTTAACATGTACGAACCTCTGTTGTACATTTCTCGTCTGACTTCAGTTTTGTGTATAAATTCCACATCGATTTAATATAAAATCCACAAGAACAGTAGAGATTTGATGGCAGATGGGCTCTTTGCCATGTTCACCATCATAGTTAGGCAGGTCAGTGTGCTAACGTATGCAAATTAACACTGAACACAATGTAGAGCTGAGACTGATGGCAGCAGCATTCATTTTATGATGTAGATAGAATTTTGACCTGTTGGTGGAATTAGATGTTATGTCACCATGAGGGGGACATAATGTAATAGTTGTTGAGATGATTCACTACAAGGTGATTAAGCTTTGTCCTCTGGAAATCATGAATTTCTGTAAAAAAAAGGTGTTTTCTCTGACCTAATGTAAACCTGGGTCCTTGGTCCGAGTCCGGTCCAAATACAAGTCAACTCAGATGCTTCTTCCTAAGTGGTGGCTAACAGCCGACAATATTAGCTGTGTGTTTTTCACTTTATTTCAACATCTACATCCGTCTCTTATTTTACTAAACTGTGACCACTACTCAAACATTTCCACAGAAACACCACACGGCAAAGAATTTGATTGAATTTGTGTGTTTTATTGTTGTGACAGTTTTCATGTAAAATACAGCTGTGCACATCATTTTGTCCAGATCATAAAACCACAACCCATGCTTACAGTTCATCCCAGCGCAAATATGCAAGTGAGTTTAGCCAGATCGTCAGCTATAATATCATTCAGCCTGACTTCACATTTGTCTACCAGAGATACCAGATGCACATTTTGGCATTTCTGTACATAAGAAGCCAAACTACTCGGGATTTCTGGTGAAGTGTCAGTAATGAGTACACTTTGAATAATTCTACATGGCTTTGTACTTGGATATAGTCACTTTAACACCTCATTAATGAACAGCAAACAGAAAATAGAAAATAATTTTGGGAGTCCAGGGACATTCTAGCAGGAGCATTTACCCAATGATGGCTGCATTTACGTTCACTGGGCAGGACCTTTTGCAGCATCGAACATCTTTTTCCTTCCCTCCATCCCTGACATGGCTTCCACATTCTTCCTCCAGTCACTGTCTTCTACCGGCCTCTTCTGCAGATAGATAGATGGAGTGAGAGATGGTGTGAAAGAATGAGAAAGTTCTTGAGGTAAAGACCAATGTTGTCACCTGGGAATTCCCCATGAGAACACTGCATATCTGTACTTGAATAACCGGTTTCCAGCTCCACACACACACACACACACGCACACACACACACACACACACACAC